CTGCTTCAACAGAATCTGTGTCCCAAGGGCTGACCTTTCTCCTCCTCGATGGCATCAGTTAGGTATCTGCATTCCTCCTGTATTCGTTCTTCTAAGCTTCTCTTGCCCAAACCAAAGTTTCTTAAAGTGGATAAGGCAAAGCGTCTTTGCTGCTTCCAGCTGAGCCCATTAGAGTTGATCAGTCCTAGATGGGAAGGATTAACAGTGGTGAGCACCTGGGCATCCCTTTGATGTGGGAAAGCCAGACTCAGTCCACCCTTTAGACCATTCCCTTTGCCCTACTCATGACACAAGTCTGCAAGGTATTTGGCAAAGAACTCAACTTTTTACCCCTAGAAACAATATGGAGTTTCCCTGCTATCTTCTGCAGTTCCTTCTTACTGCACTTGCAGCAAACCAGCAAATAACAACTAGCAAATACAGGCAAGGAACTCACCTTTCTACCCATAGAAACAATAGTTAAGGTACCAGAAGCAATTTGGCATCCATCCAACAATTAGCATAAGACATTCCCACAGGGACACATACAGATAGAAACATTATAAAGATCAGGCATCAGAGAATGGGAGCGGCAAAAGCTGAGCCCAGATGGAGGCCAGCTCTGAGCACAGGCCTGGCTCCACCAGGAACCTGCAGCCTGAGAATGCCTCTTTCCAGGACTTCTTGCATGTGAAGATAAACAGTTGGGCCAAGAGCCCAGCTGCTCCCTAGAGCAATCCTCCATCAGTCAACATTGTTTGGTTAGAGTGCTGATCTCGCAGCCACAGCCAACTGAAGCTCTCTGTGAAACACATACTCGGGTCCCATGAAACTGCTTTCATTCTGTTTACTGACAGTGGAAATGCAAAACTAACTGAAACAACCACTGGGGACTTGCGAAACTATCTAAAGATGTTTTCTGAACATGTCAGCATCCAAATTTGTTAGGTTACAAGTCACATCATCCCCAGGCTGCAGGCCATATCAGCTGGGGAGGTAGGAGTTGTAATCCAGCACATTGCAAATGCATGAGGATGGGAATTCTATCGTACAAATTCACATAATTCAGGTACACCCTTTGAAAAGCAAACGCACAAGCAAGAAACATAACTTTATAAAAAAAAACTCACCAAATGACCCAGTGAGTTCACGTGATAGTGGCACTTCTGGACGATCTACAAAATTTTCACCTTGATGGACAAGGACTTCCTTCACCAGTGGCAGCCCACTCACAACCACAATCTTCATGCTTCCAAGCTGCAGGCTGAAGACGTTGCCGTATTTTTCTCTTAGCTGAAGTGGGAAAAGTAGATGTGACGATACCATGTTTTCTTATCAATACCACTTCTTGTCATTTATTTTGAAGGCAAGGGAAGCATGGATGAAAATAATTGTTTAGCTGGATGATTTCTAGTGGCTGAGTCATTGTGGCACAGGAAGGGCACATGAGCAGAACGAGGATTTGTGCTCTCTGCTCCTGCCTGCATGTGTCAAACCCCTCTGGATCCAACACTTAGCAGTGAATCAATACATGAATGTTTGCCTTATGGGCATAGTCATGTGTTGTGACTCTGAATCACGACACTGGGTGTGTTTCTGGGTGGAACTGATGCAGCAACAACCACAACTCAGGACATATAAATATGCCAGTGTGGAAATGCTTCCTAGTAGAAACATTTGCAGGGACATGGACTTTGGCTCTGGGGTTCTGGAGTTCAGGCTACTACAGAATGGGGGAGCATGCTCTGTGGAGACTCAAAGCAGTCACAGTTCTACCCTTTGAGTGACGCTGTAGAGAGGAGCTCCTTTTGTACACTCAGGTTTTCATGGAATTAGTGACCTGAAGGGGGCCTTGCAGGCTGCCCAGATCAGCCTCCAGCTTGGTACCAGAATGGCAGAGCCAGATGCGCAGCAGAGGGGTCCAGCCCCTGCTGAAACTCCAGCAAAGAGAGTCCACCTCCCTGCCTCCCAGGTGTTTGGCTCCATGGTCTTGCTGTCAAGGCATTTTCTCTGAAGCCTAATCTCCTGCCCCAGAAGCCCGTGAGGCTGGGAAGGCTGTTCTAAAGGTCCCTCTAGTTCCCTCTGGGGCAGCAGAGGACATTTGAAGAGTGCTGGTTGCCCCTCAGCCTTCTCTTCTTTGGAGTATATTTGCCCAGTTCCTCCCGCCTTTCCTGGAGGATTTGTGTCCCAGACCACTGACCAGCCAGTGCCCTCCTCCCAAATACTTCCAGCCTTTCTGAACCCTTTGGAAACTGCAGTATCTGTACATGTTCCCTTGAAGTCATTGTCCCCACAACTAGCCCTGATACTTACCTTTTCTGCAACACAATGAGGCCGTTCACCAATAAGTTGCAGAAGATTCCCCAGGAAAGGGAGAGGCCTGGGCCCTGGAGGAAACCCCCTTGGGCGCCTCCCTTTCAGGTAGTCAGCAAGGAGCAGGAAGGTAGCCAGGAACACCAGAACCACGGGGAGAGACAAGGCCTCCTGGAGCGCGGAAAGTAAGTGCCACAGCATCTTCACACTCTGCCGCCTGCCAAGCCGGACGGTCCGTAGAGGGAACCCAGCAAAAGAAGCTCTGCTTTTCCTCTCTGTGGATGTTGCATATTTGCTGCAGTTGCTGCAACGAAGGAAAACAAAGTCCGCCTGCCAAAGGG